TTGGGTGGAGATAATAGTGTGTAAAGCTTGCTATTAAGGTGTCTAATGTTGTCCAGCTGTCTAGGAATCTAATAGCTTAGGTTTAGCATCAACAATGTACTTCAGAGTGTACATTCATTTCTTTATTTGGTTCCTATAACTATTCCATAAGTAGACAGGGTAAGGGCAGAGGCAGGACCACTGTGTTTTTATAGATCAAACTGAGTTTGGAGAAGTTAAATTAGTTTCCCAAGTTACGCACATAATAGGCAACCAGACTGGGTCTCCAGCCAGCCTTTTGTAGGGTTCCTGCTACACCAGCCAGTATTTGACTGTTTTATTTCCAAACAAATCATTTATTATTTATTCTTTCAATTAACCTATGTTCGGCATCTATGATTGTGAAGGATTCTCTTGAACACTGCAGCACATAAAGACATGCAAATAACATTTTTTCTCTCTGGAAGAACAAATTGCACAAATGGCTCACCAACCTAAATATATGTGAGCTAAGAGTCTAATTAGCAGGAAAACCTCAATGTTACAAAGGTAGGAAAACCTGGTTTATGTAATAGTGGGATGAGCCTCCAGGAAAAAGGACATTGTAGCTCTCCTGGTAAAGGTGGATGGGATTTCAAAAGGAGAAAAGAAGAGAGAGGGCATTCTAAGAAAAGGGGACAAAATTAAACGGGGAAATATGATTTGTTTTCAGAAACTTGCAAAGTTTTCAAAATTTTTTCAAGTTAAGATATGTCCTCAGCCAAATTTATTAATGTTTAAAGTTTTAAATGAATGTTTAAAGTTGAAAACATTTAATGTTTAAAGTTTAAATTTAATGAATTAAATGTTTGGTATGCAATATTTACTTGTGGCAGAATATATTTTTGCACCCAGAGAAATTTAATTTATTTTCCATGAAGGTAGAAAGTCAGAAAATATTTAAATTTGCTTAGGAAAAAAAGTAATAAAAAGAAATTGTTTCTGTGATTATTACTTAGTTAATAAGACTCTATATTAGCTGTATATCTAAATAAATCTATAAAGATACAGAGACATTAATAAGTGATGATGAATTAATAATAATGATCAACAGTGATGATTATTCAAGCTTCTTGGGCACCTAATATGTGCCAGTTACCTTAAATACGTTATTTCTAATCCTCACAAAGACTCTGTAGGCTAAATAATATTATCCCATTTTACAGATGAAAACCTGAAGCTTATAGGGATTAATAAACTTAATCAATCCAATAGTAAATGGAGACACTGAACTTGGACCCATTTTTGACCCACCATGTTCTATTTTGTTTAGTGTGCTGCCTCTACGATACTGTAAAGTACTTTCTAGGCCTTGGTAAAGCTTTCTTTCCTTTTGTCTTGAATAATGGCTCATAAATATTATGACATACAAAAAAGCTCAGATAATGTGCCATTTACTGGATGGAACTTAAGAGATGCAACAATGGGATTAAGTAAAAGAATATCGTGCAAGATAAAGCTCGTGCAAATAAGCAAACAAAGAGACAAAAATAATTCTTAGTTGATGGGCCATCTGATAGTCATTTGTGGCTGGCACTGGTATAAACAAAAGGGAACTGGATGTCCTGTTGTATTATGGTTTAATTATTTGTATACCACTATTATCATCACTATAAAAGCAACATCGTCTCAGTTTGACCAAGCCAAAATGAATAAATTCATCATTGGTGGAGGGAAAAGATCTCATTTGATATAAAAGCATTATCGAATGCCAAAATAACAAATTTGAAGAAATTTCACAAGAAGCATAACTATTTCTTCTTAAAGATTCTTTACAATAGAGAATCAAGGCTGTGCAATCTTTACTTCATTGCAATCAGCTTTGGGATACCTTTAAAACCTAATATGAATATTTTGTGAGTAGCACTATTTATTTCAATAAAACCTCCTTCATTTACCATGTTATTCAGATACCAGTGGGGCAGGACCTCCCTGGGAGGCAGTGTGGTCTGGCGGTTAAGAAGATAGACTTGGGTTCCCAATCTATTCCCACCACTTACTAGCTGTGTTAGGTAGCACACATTAGCTAACTTTCTAAGCCTTAGTTTTTTCATCTGTGTGGAAAAGATAATAATAGAATTTACCCCATGGAGTTGTTGTAAGAATTAGGGAAGAGAATACATGGGAAGCTCTTATTTCAGTGCCTGGCCAGAATAAGTCTTCGATAAGTATTTGTGGTTACTCTTTTTACTATGGAAAAGCAGAGTGACATGGCAGAAAGCATATGAGATTTGGATTCAGACAGGCCTTGGATAGGATGTGCAAAGTTACTTACTATTTATGGAAGTAAACAAATGCAGAACTGTTGTCCAGGAAGCGAATCTTGGAGAGTTTGAATTCTTTATTGGAGGGGGTAAGAAGAAGGGTAAAATCAGGATAGAAATTGGAGAAGGGAAATAGACATTTTTATAGGAAAGCCATGATAATATATAAGTTGACATTCTGAATCTTGAATCCTAACAAATATATTCCATTTTAAAACAGAAATAAAAAGTTCCCCTAGAAGTGACACAGACCGTAAAGCTAACTGAAAGAGATACCTGCTACATATAGCTAGTGTACACAATTGAGAATCACATTCAGTTGTATGAATTGCTGATGCTACAACATGCTCCATATGCTCAAAAAGCCTAGAAAGAAGGCTCATCAAGAATTTGTGTAAGTTCCTCAAGTCCTGATAACCAATTCTGAGGCCATTTGAAGAGGGAAAGATAAACACCTGCATGCATAGTAGGGTGCATTCCAGGAGAGGAATCCTGAGCTGATGGAACCCAAATATTTTATAATGGATAGTGTAAGCATGCCTCCCCTTTGTTCCAGAAGAAGACACTGTCTTTATTATACTGGACAGTAAGCTTGCCCTTTGCTCAAGAGGGAGACAGTGCCTTCAGGCTGATCACTACACAAAATTCTTGAAAAGATAGCATCTCTGCTATCTGCAGCCAATTTCTCTGCTCACAAGACATGCAAAAATGGGAGAGATCCATGGAGAACTGTCACCCAACAATGTAGCAAGATGACGTATACAAAAGCTACTGATTAACACTATGGTGCTCAAATAGTGGCAGTGCTCACCAGGGATTCGGGGGTTGGGAGGGTACACTGACATCTGAGGGATGTAGTGAGCATTGTGGAGTTCCGGGAAGGGCATACCTCAAATCCTTGTTAGGGAGAGGCAAAGATATAAAATGCAACCAAAATGTTTGTACTCTCATATTTTCTTGAAAAAAAAAAGCTTCTACAGTCATCCTTGTTGGGAAAGAAAATGCCACTCAGAAAAAGCTCTTTAAGATTGTGCAACCTATATATCAAGGCCTCATTTTCCCCACCATGAGTTCCCATTGCCTGAAACTGGGCTGAGCCCTGTGGGAGCCAGCACTAACAATTTACTTAGCATCAGCTTTCCCGAGCCAGAAGACACCCTTCTGATCTACCAGATGGTTTGGAGCCTGATGCTCTGCATCCTTACAGCTGCCTCAGTCGTGCTCTTTCGAGTGGGCGAGTGATACCTCGGATAATGAAATATGATTGCTAATTTCTTTCACCTGAACCCTGTTCTCTATTAACACACCGTAAAAAACTGGAAGACGGTTTATTACCAACCCACTCAACAGATGCACCATTGTAGTGGAAAGCGCACAGTGCCACTGCTCTGACTGGGAGATTTTTTTGTAATTTCAAAGTATTACAGGAGTATAAATATTTTTGGTTACATGGATCACTTTTATAATGTTTGAGTCATGGCTTAAAGTGTGTCCATCACCCAGATAGTGTCCGATGTACCCATTAGGTAGCTTTTCACTCATCCTATCCCCACACCCCGCTTGATTTCCATTGAGTTTTATTTCCCTCTGTGCACATGTGTGCCCATTGGTTAGCTCCAATTTATTTGTGAGTACATGTAGTGTTTGTTTTTCCATTATTTAGATACTTCATTTAGGATAATGGTCTCCAGTTCCATCCAAATTGTTGCAAAAGGCATTAAGTAAACCGATTCGGAGTCTCCATGGGTAACCATGGCTGGTGGGGTTCCAGAAAGGTGGCAGTGGGAACTAAGAGGAAGAGGCAACTCTCCCAACCTGCCCTGCAGCTTCTTCCTTGGAAGTGGAAGGTTGCCACACAGGGATGGTCTAAGGCAAATTTGTCCCACAAGACTCGTCTTTCAAAGCCCTGACCTTTTTCAAAAGACCTCCTTTCACCACTAGATTACCCAGTCCATCCCTTCAGGCTCTGTTCTTACAATGGCATCAGATACCAAATAAATTTTACTATACCTTAGTGTGGTTTTAGGCAATCTCTGGAGGGAGAAGACTTGATTTTTAAGGTCATTCTTCTAATGAAGAAATAAATCGCTGACTCCAATTAAAAAGAACCACAGCAAATCTTTGCATAGCATTTGCCAGGTGCCAGGCACCATTCTAAGTGCTTGACATGTATTTACCTATTCAGTCAAAGTTATTATCCTCATGCTATAGCTGAGGAAATACAGAAATACTAAGTAACTTGTCTACAGTCACACAAATAATAAGTGGCAGAGCTAGAATTTAAACCCAGCCAGTCCAGGGACAAAGTTTGGGCTCTTAGCCCCTAACAAAGAGAGCCTGTGTGAGAAGAGAGTTACCCCCATAGTCAGCTGGCTCCGCCTCATAGGCTGAACTCAAGGAGTACTTATTGATAAATTAATGGTTTTTTGATGTGTGTAGTGGGAAGCAAAATCAGTTAATTTAGAATGACTGAAAGCTAACTACAGCAGATATAAGGCAAGAAAGTTACTCCTCTAGAGTGATTAGCACAAAGATCCCTTAAAAAGAAACCATTAATAAGGTAGGGCTGAGTTTTATTTTTTCAAATATTTAAAACCACATTCCCTGAAACAATGACAAACTACATCTCCATCAAGCACATGGTAATTGAAGCTCAAAACCCATAAGTCATTGTCAAGGGCCTGAATGCCATACCGCACCTGGCACATTTCCTTGTGAAGGGACAGCTGCAGGGCATCTGTGCTTGCTGTTTTGAAGACAGGGTACCACTCATTTCTCAAAAAGTATCTGAAAAGAGCTGTCCCAGATTCAGGGTCCAGGGACAATCAAATGGTGCTAAAGTCATCTCACTTTGGAGCATCATACTTACCAAGTCTCAATCCTACTTCCTTATTTTCCTGGAATGATGATTTGAAACCATTCTTTGCCATATTAACACCTGTCCTCACCAACACCCAGAGTTTTAAGAAGTAACTTGAGGAAAGCAATCAAAAGCTGTGTTTCTAATGCTCACGTAATCATGGCATCTACACACCTGGTAATCTCTTCATTGTGTTTACTGTCCATTAAAGTACAGTTTCTTGTTCCATGTATCATTTGTGGTCCATTCAGCATTTATCTGGCAGCAGATAGAGAACTTCGTGATTACCAGAACCCTGCCATCACTTTCTATGCACACGCACACACACACACACACACACACACACACACACACACACACACACATCAATGTTGAAAATCACAGAAATCAAAGGGGCCTTAGAGATAATTCAGTTTACACTGCTCATGAGGTCCTGCGATATTTTTATGACTAGTCACTGTATTAGTTAGGGACCTTGGTTGCAAGCAATAGAACTTCACCTCAGATTAGTATTAATATAAGCAAAAGGAGAATAATTACTACAAGGATATGAGAGTTCCACAGAGGAATCCAAGGGCAGAAATATAGCCAGACATGAGAACAAGATGGAATCAGGGGTCTAAGCCTTGTCTGGAGCCTGGCTTCTTCTCCCCTCCTCCAGCTGTTCCACTGTGCCCTGCTCTCTCTCCCTCTCATCCTGCCTCCTTGACCTTCCCAGATAAATTCCAAAATTCCAAAGAGTAGACTCACCTACCCAGCCTAGTTCAGATGCCCATTCCTGCTCACATCATGACTGCTTCCACTGCAATAATGTAGTTGGGAGGAAAATTCCCCCAAAATGGATTTGGGATAAAATATTCCATATGAACATACACACACACACACACATTCCTTAATCGTAGTTAAGTTGCCTCTTCTGCTTCATCTCTCATCCTGTTATTTATAAATTAATAACTAAATATATGCAGAATTTCCTTCTATAATGCATTCATTCATGACTTATTTTTTGACAAGCTTTATATATATATATTCTATGTGCTTAACAACTACATAACTGCATTTAGTCTTCACAACAGTTTAGAGAAAAAGATAGTAGCTCCATTTTGAAGATACAAAAGCTGAATCTCAGACAGGCAAGGAAGGATAAGAGCTGAAACCCAATAACTAAGAGTTGAAAATGAGGAAGATGAGAATGAGCATGTAGGAGTACAGTGGTAGAGTGAAATAAATGAAATCTCAATTCTATGCTTGAGCAGAAGGAGAAAAGTACACCTGGAGGCAAAACATAAGTTCAAGACACCAACACGTGCTTACTCATATAAAAGAGAAAGAGAAAACTGAGCTGCTTTTGTGAACCTAAAGGCAAGGTGAGCTTATAGAATTTAAAGGGTATTAGTCAAGGTCTCCAGGTCCCAAAATATCAATGCCATTACCAGTTATTTTACCTTATTTATAATTGACTCCATGACAAGAAAGTCTATAGATACTTTAGAGAAGGCACATGATTGCTATAGTCAAAATCAGAATCTGGAAGTCAATCAGTTGTGTTTACATTTGGATTGTGCCAGAATTAAGTAAGTTAGCCCAAAAAGATGTGTGAGCCACACACTGCTCTGAGCTCCACTCCACTTCAGCCCAACTGTCTTGGAGATGCTTGTGCTGCCCCAACAACAGAAGTTCTGTCACTACTAGAGGTGGGGAAATTGAGACCAGGCCTATAATGGAGCAAAGGCCATTCTAGTCCCAAGATAACCATCTGCTCCTCTGTGTCTGGCCTGAGGCATTCCAACAGAGCAAGAACTCCCAGACCACAGCAGAATAAGATAGAAATCAATCACAACAGAAACACTCAAACCCACACAAAGTCATAGAAATTAAACAACCTGCTGTTGAACAATTATTGGGTCAAGAATGAAATTAAGATGGAAATCAACAGATTCTTTGAACTGAATTAAAAAGGGGACATGAGCTATTGAAATTTGTGGTACTCAGCCAAAGCATTCCTCAGGGGAAAATTCCTAGCCTTAAATGCCTACATCAAAAAGACAGAAAGATCACAAATTAACAACCTAATGTCATATCTCAAGGAACTAGAAAAGGAAGAGTAAACCAAACCCAAAGCCAGCAAAAGAAAAGAAATAATGAGGTTAGAGGAGAACTAAATGAAATGGAAAGCAAAGAAAAAAAAATACAAAGGATCAATGAAACAAAAAGTTGGTTATTTGAAAAGATAAACAAAATTGACATACCTCTTGCTAGGTTAATGGGGAACAGAAGAGAAAGGACACAAATAAGCTTAATCAGGAATGAAAAAGGAGACATTACAACTAATGCCACAGAAATACAAAACATCATCCATGAATACTATAAAAATCTCTATGCCCCTAAACTAGAAAACATAGAGGAAATGGATAAATTTCTGGAAACATACAACCTCCCAAGACTCAATCAGGACAAAATAGAACTCCTAAACAGACCAATAATGAGCAGTGAGATCACAGCACTAATAAAAAACCTCCCCAAAACAACAACAAAAAGCCTGGGACCAGATGGATTCACAACCAAATTCTACCAGACCTACAAAGAAGAGCTGGTACCCATACTACAGAAGTTATCGTATATATTAAGAAGGAGGGAATTCTCCCCAACTCATTCTATGAAGCCAGTATCAACTTGATACCAAAGCCAGGAAAGTGGGGACACACACACACACAAACCAACCACAGCCAACATCATGCTAAATGGGGAAAGTTGAAAACATTACTCCTAAGAATTGAAATAAAACAAGAGTGCCCACTGTTACCACGTCTATTCAACAAGTGCCAGAAGTTCTAGCCAGAGTAATCAGGCAAGAGAAAGAAATAGAGTATCCGAATGGGGAAAGAGGAGGCAAAGTATTGCTTTTTGCTGACGATCTGATCTTGTATCTAGAAAACCCTAAAGACTCCACCAACAAACTCCTGGAATTAATAAATAAATTCAGCAAAGTCTCAGGATACAAAACCAATGTGCATAAATCAGTAGCATTTCTATATACCAATAACAGTCAAGCTAAGAATCAAACAAAAACCTCAATACCATTGACAATAGCTACAAAGAAAATAAAAAACGTAGAAAGACACTTAACCAAGGAAGTAAAAGATCTCTACAAGGAGAACTATGAAACACTGAGGAAAGAAATCACAGAAGACACAAACAAATGGAAAAACGTGTCATGCTCATGGATCAGTAGAATCAACATTGTTAAAATGTCCATACTACTCAAAGCGATTTATAGATTCAATGTAATCCCTATCAAAATACCAACATCATACTTCATAGATCTAGAAAAAATAATTCTACACTTCTTTTGGAACCAGAAAAGAGCCTGAATAGCCAAAGCAATTTTAGGCAAAAAGAACAAATCTGGAGGCATCACACTACCAAACATCAAACCATACTACTACAAGGCTATAGTAACCAAAACAGCATAGTATTGGTACAACAATAGAAACATAGACCAATGGAACAAAAAATAGAGGACTCAGATATAAAAACAACCTACCTACAGCCAACTGATCTTTGACAAAGCAGACACAATGTACACTGGGGAAAAGAAGGCCTATTCAATAAACAGTGCTAGGAAAATTGGATAACCATATGCAAAAGAATGAAACAGGACCCCTATCTCTCACTACTCACAAAAAATAATTCAAGATAGATACAAGACTTAAATGTAAGCCATGAAACCATAAAAATTCTAAAGGAAAATGTGGGAAAAAACTCTTCTGGATATAGGACTAGGCAAAAAATTTATGACTAAGACCCTAATAGCAAGCACAGCAACAACAAAAATAAATAAATGGCATTTCATTAAACTAAAAAGCTTCTGCACAGCTTAGGAAATAATCAACAGAGCCAATAGCCTACAGAATGGAAAAAAATATTCACAAGCTTTATATCCAATAAAGGGCTAATATCCAGAATCTACAAAGAACTCAAGCAAATCAGCAAGAAAAAAAAAACAACCCCATTAAACATGGGCAAAAGACATGAATAGAAGGTTTTCAAAAGAAGGCAGACAAATGGCCAATAAAAATATGAAAAAATGCTCATCACTAATCATCAGGGAAATGCAAATTAAAACCATTAAAATGAAATATCACCTTACTCCTGTCAGAATGGCTTTTATTAAAAAGTCCAAAAACAATAGATTCAGGGACAGATGCAAAGAGAAAGGAATGTTCATACACTGTTGGTGGGACTGCAAATTAGTTCAACCCCTGTGGAAAACAGTATGGAGATTTCTCAATGAACTAAAAGTATACCTACTATTCAATCCAGCAATCCCACTACTGGGTATCTACCCAAAGAAAAAGAAGTGATTTTATCAAAAAGACACCTGCACTCGAATGTTTATTACAACACAATTCACAATTGCAAAAATGTCGAATCAACCTAAGTGCCCATCAAGACATGAGTAGATTAATAAAATGTGGTATATGTATACCATAGAGCAGTGGTCCCCAACCTTTTTGGCACCAGAAATTGATTTCATGGAAGACAATCTTTCCACCATGGGGTGTGGGGGAGGATGGGTGGGCAGGGGAAGGCAGAGCTTATACAGTGATGTGAGTGATGGAGGGAGCAGCTATAAATAGAGATGAAGCTTCACTCCTTCACTGCTGCTTACCTCCTCCTGTGCGACGTGGTTCCCAAGTTTCATGGAAGGAAGGAGGGGACAGAGTTCAGGCAGTGATGCATGACTGGTTCCTAACAGGCCTTGGACCAGTACAGGGCTGGGGCCTGGGAGTTGGGGACCATAGCCATACAGTACTACTCAGCCAAAGAAAAGGATGAATTAGCCCCTTTTGCAACAAGCTGGATGGAACTGGAGTCCATTCTCCTAAGTGAAGTATCTCAAGAATGGAAAAACAAACACCATACGTGCTCACTATTAAATTGGAACTAACTGATGAGCACACATGTGCACAGAGGAAAGTAAGACTCATGGAAATCAAGCAGCAGGGAGGAGGGATGGGGCAAAAACCTACCTAATGGGTACAATGAACATTTTTTTAGTGATGGGCACACTTATAGCCATGGCTCAAACAGCACAAAAGTGATCCATGTAGCCAAAAATATTTGTACCCCCTTAATATTTTGAAATTAAAATAAATAAATAAATAAAAGAATCCCCCATGCCCATGAGGCAATTTACAAAGAGGGGCAATTTACAATTGAGACTCCAATTCAGCCATGTTACACAGGATCACATTTATGGTAGTAGCCTTGAGAGGTAGATATTTTCATTTCCATTTTATACATAAAAAGCCTGAAGCTCAGAGAAGTTAAATCACTTGTGCAAGGTCACCAAGGCAGGCATCAAAGGCAGGTCTGTCCAGCTCCATGGGCCTTGGTCTCTCCACTCCCAAGGTTCTCTCTAGGGGACAGTGTCTCCACTACCAGCAGGGAGGTCCTGCCTCAGCTGTGCCTATTCCCACACACCCCGTGCTTAGCTGCGAGGGGTGAAGGAGGTATCCTCAGGCCCCCTCATCCCTGTGCTCAGTGGCAGACAGCAAATCAGAAAGCGGAAGCAGAATGCTCTGGATAGCTGCTTTCCCTGAGGCCACCCCTCTGCCCTGCATCTTACACTAATCACTTCCCATTCTTTTTTTTTTATTTCAAAATATTGAGGGGTTACAAATGTTTTTGTTACATGCTTTTCTAATGCTTTAGTAAAGGCTACAAGTGTGCCCGTCACCTGAATAGTGTACATTGTAACTGTTCCACTTTCTATTCTTAATGCCACAGAGGCCAGCCCCGCCCTGCAGACTCCACTTTATGTTCCCCTCACTATCCTCCGCCCTGCACCCCTCTTACCTCCTTTTCACCCTGAGTCTGTTTCTCTGGCTCACCACATCTTAGCCAGCCTCCTTTGGTGATGAAATGGATGAGTGAGTGCAAACTACAGTATTTCTGACTTACCATCCCATTCTCTACCCTTGATTTCCTTTAATCCCTGCTCCTTCCTTCCTTTCTTTATTCTTCCCAATTCTTTCTCATGTCTTTTCTCCTTTATTTTCTTTAATTTACCTCTTCTCATTCTTTCCCCACTCTCTTGCCCCAAGGACATCCCTGCTGTGTAGACTTTGGGGCTCCCCCCCCTCCACCCCCACCCCTGCCCCCAAGCCAAACCCACCCAAACCCACATGACCACCAGCATGGGATGGGCTGCACACACCCTGGGTTCTCTCTGTCTACACTGCCTCCCCAGCCTGGGGCACTGCCCCACCCTTGCCTCAGACTGGCCCACATGAAGGTTGTGCTGGCAATGCTCTGTGGGGATAAACAATAGGAACAAAAGGAAAATGGAGCAGTAATACATAAATATTTATACATCCAAATATAATTCAGAAACACAAATGTGTATTTTTAAAAATCAACTTCAAAAATTAAGGAAAGTGGCCGGGCGTGGTGGCTCACGCCTGTAATCCTAGCACTCTGGGAGGCCGAGGTGGGCAGATCATTTGAGCTCAGGAGATCAAGACTAGCCTGAGCAAGAATGAGACCCCATCTCTACTAAAAAAAAATAGAAAGAAATTAGCTGGACAACTAAAAATACATAGAAAAAATTAGCCAGACATGGTGGGGCATGCCTATAGTCCCAGCTACTCGGGAGGCTAAGGCAGGAGGATTACTCAAGGTCAGGAATTCGAGACCAGCCTGAGCAAGAGCAAGACCTCATCTCTACTAAAAATAGAAAGAAATGAATTGGCCAACTAATATATATAGAAAAAATTAGCCAGGCATGGTGGCGCATGCCTGTAGTCCCAGCTACTTGGGAGGCTGAGGCAGGAGGATTACTTGAGTCTAGGAGTTGGAGGTTGCTGTGAGCTAGGCTGATGCCATGGCACTGTAGCCTGGGCAACAGAGTGAGACCCTGTCTCAAAAAAAAAAAAAAAAAATTAAGGAAAGTGTTGAACATCATCATGAAACTTCTGTTTCTAAATGTTCATGCCTTCAATAAAGAAATTCAAAATATTAAAATCACATTGCCATTATGGGACCTATCTTTTTCCCTGAGAACTGTCAACCTTTTTATTCTTTCTTACCAAAAATAAAATTTAGTAATTCTAATTCTCCAAGAATTTCCTTTTTGAACCAGCTACATTCCCTATAAATCACACCTACAGCTCTACTATAATCAACGTCCAAGTAGAAGTACTGTTTTGAGAAAGCAGCAGCACAAAGGGCTGGGACAGGGCAGAGAATCTGACTCCCTCCTCTACCCGACTTTCCAGATAAAAGTTCTGGTTCAGAGCAGGCTACACTACAAAAGAGCTCCCCATTTTAACTAGAGTTGATACATGAAAAACCTGGATTTCCCAAGTAAATGAATTATTTGTTCATTCTTTTTTTTTTATTTGTTCATTCTTTACCATACAAAAGTTTCACCAAAAAAAATGTTGTCTTTGCTAACCTTAAAGAGTTAAAGCAGCATTCCATTTATCATATAGTCATTTGCATGCAACTTCTGTGGACTGGAAAAGCTCTGAAAGAAGTACACCTGTGAGCAAATCATGAATTAAGAAACCCATGCCATTGACTCATGTGAAAGAGAAAGAAAAAAAAAATTGTTAGCTTCTTGGGAAAAAACCCACAGGCAAAGTCAGCCTTGTAAATAGTGGAATTTAAAGGATGTTGTTCAACGTTCTCAGGCCCCAAATTATCAATCATGTTACCATTCATTTCATCATTAGTTAGCTGTAGGCTAGAGTCCTCAGGACATCTCTCAATAAGCACATTTCGTAATTCCTTGGTTTCTAAAATCTTTTACAAAATCCTTTAAGATTCTGATTTAAAATTTCTCCTACAATATGCCCACCCACCAGAAATACTTCACATTTTTCATAATTTTTTTGAGGAGTGGGTCAGTCCCCCTGCACTAAGCTAAGATCTTAATTATCACATAGCAACTTAGCAGGGAACCAACAGCACGCTGAGAACAAGCACAGAACAGGAGGCAGGCCTTACATTCACAGCATCACATGAGAGGAAAGGGTTAAATGGATCAACTCCTTCCCCATGTTACAGACCACCATCCCACGTTGGAAGAACCCATCCTGAAAGCTCTGAAAATTGTGGCTTGGCAGGAAAGTGTGACAGGAGATGAAAGCTGACTTAGAAAAGAACTTCAACTGCTTTCAAGTGAGTGGAGATGAACTCCCTAAAAATCCTTCTGAACAAAATTCTGCCGTCTTGTTACGATTTCTTAAATTATACATTCTCAGACAGTGAATTTCCAAGATGTGGCCAGAGCTATTTAGAAACACTTCAGAGCATGGGAGCATAATTTCATACTACATTATAAGGAATTCTTATGAAATTACATGATTCATCTTTCTGAACCCCAAGCCATTTTGGAACAGGAAAAGGGCTCTGAAACTTATCAGTAAATCCTGATTATTTTGGCTTTCTTGTAACAAAGCCTCCAGAAATTAAGAATATGCTTTAAGACTACATTAATTGGCCCAAATAGTTTCCAATTTAAACAAGAAGAATTTTGTCATTAAATGGCTGACTTGGCTCAGCATAACATTCTTTTCATCACTTTCTTTTCTACCCAGTGTTTTTCTGTCTTAAAGATACTATATCTCCTAAATTTTTCTTCAGTTTTTCTTCCCAGTAAATCTACCTTAGCAATGTTAAGTCACAAAAGCTATTCCTTGAAAACAAACTTCTTTATTGGACAACAGGCTATTGGAAACCTGGTCCAATTTTAGACTTCAGCTCTATTTTAAGGAAAAACTATTCTTATTCCTGCTTTAAGCTAATATCAGGATGCTGGGTTCCCTTGGGAGAGAGATCCAGAAGCCCTTCTTAAGGAGTTTAGCTCAGTCTTAATGGCAAAGGACTCACAATACATGGAGTAAGGAAATGACCAACCAAGTGGACCACCTAATACACGTGTAAGAGAAGGACAGAGGTGTATCATCCATTCATTCAGGAATATTCCAGTGGAACTCAGACCCCCTCAAAGATCACTGGCCTGTCTGGCTGGGTTCTGCTGCTCCGGAGCCATGGTGGCCTCTGCTAGTGGGCGCTTGGCAGCCCGGGCAGAGTGCTTTGCTGTCCCCAGTCACTCCAGGCACTGCAAGTCTCTTGTGGAAGAGAGGAGGCTCCCTCCCTTTGTGTTACACACTGATAGATGGGTCCCTGAACAGTCTGTCACTAAGCCCTAATTTGTCACAGAGCCTAATGGCACAGTTTTTACTTACAGCTCTCTCTCTCTCTCTCCCCCTCTCTCTCTCTCTCTCTCCTCCAGGCCCAGACATGCTTCTGGGAGCTGAGCTGTGATTCCAGTCTCATAACAGCCCCAGGAGACTCAGTCTCCCTCCTTCCCTCTGACAAGTAATGCTTTGATATAAAAATCCCTCCTCCCCAAGAGTGTTTTTCATAAGATTTCCTTAGCCCCCTGCAAATAGACAGTCAACCCACTGCTGTGGAAACAGCTGAGCCCCAGCTGAGGTCCATGCTGCACTAGGTGGCCACTCAAAGCCCAGTGAAGCCTCCTAACAATCCCTTGGAACTGATCAGACATTATCTTTGAAATAGAATCATCTTGATTGAAGCAACTAACACAGCCCACATCACAAAGAACAAAGAGAATTTGATTCAGGAAACAGAAGACCACCCAGGGCAGGCAAATAAGGAAAGACAAGGAGAAGAGAAAAGGAAAAACATAAGAAGGAAATCTGAGGCAGTGGGCTTGTGCTTGCACAGGGCTTCCCATGATGTGGTTGGCAAGGGTCAGAAGCAGCTTTTCATTCCTCACAATGGTATGTTGGACACGCCCAGTGAGACCAGGACCCAGGCTCCACTCCAAAGCCTGGGAGCTATTTGCATGAAGTGCACATAAGGGTGATGTGACCTGCCCACGACTGTAATCCAGGAAAGCCAGAAGAGCAGCAATGACAGGGTAAAGAAAATTCGTTATACTATTTACCGCCCCTCTAGACTCAAAGTCTCAGCTGTTGGATTTTGCTGATCATAACAGGCTGTTGTGTGGTGTTGGGGATGTCTGCAGCCTGCCAGCATTTGGCTGTTTCTGTGGGCTTAATTACTCTCTGGTAATAACTTCTCCCTATTTCTATAAAGAACAGATGATCAACAATACCATCCCAGAGTCCTGTGTACCTTGCAGGAGAGAGATACAGCTTTTCCCAAACACAGTTTATGAATGTCATATCCACATTCTGATGTACTCACTGTAAAGCTTTAATACCAGTAATAACGATCTTTCCATTACAGATATTTAAAGCAATGCTTTCCATGTGAAGCAGAAGTAATTATTATCAATATTTGGGTGAACCAGAATACCGGTGACAGCTCCAACAGCTGCATTCAGCTTTGGCTCAGTAACAAAACACAGAAAGCTCCCCAGTGAGAAACAAGGCAGGGTTTGATGAATTCCACTCAGCTCTTCAGTTACAGATTATTAAAAGATGAATTATAAAATTGGCACAATAATGGCCATGCACATTCTTTCTGGCCAGCATCATCCCTAAGGCTCTGATAATCACAGAGGAATCTTTAAATCAGAGGACAATTCAGGTCTAACTCGAACAGACAGTGTTTGTAAAGCTGCCACGCACCATTAGCACATGGACTTCCCTGAGCAATCGCTCCATTACTTACCACAGACAGCCACACGTGGTTGCTGATGGGACAAAGACAGCACAGGATGACATAAGGGTCTGAGCGTCGCCTTTTTCTGGTCCATGGGACAGGACTCAGGGAGCAGGACTCGTGGAGGCAGGCAGACAATGCTTTCAGAAGATTTAAGCAGAGGCCTTGGACTGAGGGCAGAGTTCTACATGCTTTCCTAACCAGACAGGGGGTTTTGGCAATATGTTCTTGTGGATTTCTAGGTGGAATTCAGCAAAATATGCTGAATCTATTAGGATGTTGAGTATTTCCAGTACAACCACTAAATAGCGATTCCCTTTCAAATTGCCTATATTAGGGTTCTCCAGAGAAACAGAACTAATCATATCTAATCATAGTCATATATATGGAGAGAGGGAGAGAGAAAAAGAGATTTATTTTAAAGAATCCACTCATGCGATTGTGGGGGCCGGCAAGTCTGAAATCCACATAGCAGGCTGTCAGGCTAGCAATTCCGTAAGAGTTGACGTTGCAGTCTTGAGTCTGAAATCTGCAGGGCAGGCCAGCAGGCAGAGTTTCTGCATTGCAGTCTTGAAGCAGAATTGCTTCTTCTTTGCGAAACCTCAGTCTTTGCTCTTAAGGCCTTCAACTGATTAGAAGAGGCCCACCTACATTATGGGGGGAAATCTGCTTTACCCAAAGTCTACTAATTGTAAATGTGTAAATGTGAATTATAAATGTGTAAATGTGAATCACATCTAAAAAATATCTCCACAGCACAACTAGACTGGTGTTTGACCAAACAACTGGACATGCCACAGTCCAGCCAAGTTGACAAATAAAATTAACTATCACATTACCTTTTTCCCAAATATGACAGCTAAAGATAGGATATGTATGTTATAAGAGTTCTCAGCATTCTGCATCCTGACTGAGGATGGTTGATATCTCCTTTCTCACACTCGCATATGACATGAAGATAGCAGGTGTCTTTTAGAGTGTACCAGGAAGGGTGTATGTACACAGGATTTGCGTGAGCAGCCTGGTGTCTGTCTCCCTTCACCCTCCTTTTGAGGTTGACCTTCCTCTAGTACATGTGAGGGCAAGGCAGCTTTGACTCACATCCTCATCCATCCAGCACTTGATCTTATCAATGGTCTCCACTACTTTGGGCTTGTGCTGCTCCTCAAGACCCCCTGAAAGATAGGAACATGGTTCTCTCTTGACCTGAGTCTGACCTTGCCAGCCTAGCATGAGAAGAGAGGGCTATAGAAGGGAAGCCTTCAGCACCTCTTCCCTTACTCCTCACCCTACATGCCTAGAGGATACTGCAACATAGGAATAAAAATAATAAGTGTGATTCTTGAGTGGCCACAGAAACTAACCAAGGTAAACACTCCTTAAAGCTCCTTAGGATACAGCCCAATTCCAATCTCAATTCCCTGTCTTAAAATCCATCTTTCTCTTAACCCCTGGATGGAAAGTTACTTCTTCAATCCTTCCCAGAATGAATTTCTGCTCTCTCCCTAGGACCAGTCCACTACCCTACCAAGGAACTCTGTGGGCCTTCACACTCCTAACAACACCTTTCCAGTCCTAGGGTTATTCATTAAGAATGTGCTCAATATTCCATGCTGGAGTGTGGTCAATAGACTAAGCTGAGCTTTGGCATTTCCAATATGGTCTCCCATAGAGATTTCTGCACCGTGTGATCTGAAGGTAATATGCCTCCCCAATTCTTCCTTTAGTCTGCTAAGGTACTATAAATAACTTCTGGGGAAAACATTCATGCATGGTACAGACATACACATCCCCAAAGCAAAAATAATTCTCTGAAGCAGAACAGTCCAAATCTATATTAACAAAGAAAAATATTTTCTCCAAACAAAAAATCTGCCAAGCTTTTCTCTTCCCACAATGGAAAGAGCATTTTTTGTTTTTGTGCACAGTGATTGTAGATTCCCTCTTCATCTTCCTGCTGGCTCCTGGGAACCTGACTAGGCCTGGGCAAGGGAACACATCCTAGGACCTCTCTTAACAGCTTAGCCCTTGCTCTGAGTCATACCCTAAGACAGTCTTTCCCAACCTTGAGAATGGTACTTGAAAAACTCATCATACGACAAATTCACAGAGTACAATAGGATAAATGGATTGAGCAATTTATGGCAAGAGGTTGCCCCAAGCCCCATCTGGCCTCCTAGAGGGTGGAGAAGAATTAATATCTTGGCACATATATAAGCCATTCATGGCACCCAGGGAGCCACAGCACACCTGCTGGGAAGCTTTGCCCATGCCGTACAAAGACCAATCTGAGCTCTGTGTGTGTATGTGTGTGCGCGCTACATGTCTACCCTTGAGCCAGACTGAATTTTTAGGCAGGCAGAACTTTCCTCCCCCAATATCATTGGCAGGTGGTAGAATGATATAAAGATGGATTCTCTTACCATCAGCAGTAAAGTCCCAAAGGCTGAGCTGGGAAATCAGGCTGTGGTTTACTAGACACATCTATAATAACTGGCCTTCAAAATTCAAAGAGAATTTCTCTCAGACCCCAGTTACAACTATTCCCAAGTTGAGAAACTATGGTCTGAAAAAGTTAAAGGAAAGGTTGACTACTCATTTTATATAGAAAAAAACAAAGTTATAATTTAGCAAAATCTCTCCTTTTTTTTCACCTAGAAACGTAAAAAACAAGGACAGAATTGTTGTTACAACCTCTTGATAAATATGAACAATTTTATTACTTAAGAGTATTTGGACCCAAATCCTGGTTTGTTGCTGTCATTATAGAATAAGGGTTATATTCATATTTTCATTTCTTTGTGGTTTTTTGGTTTGATTTTGTTGGTTTTTTTTTTTTTTAGAGACAGTGTCTCACTCTGTCACCCAGGCTAGAGTACAATGGTATGACCATAGCTCACTGTAACCTTGAATTCCTGGGCTCAGGTGATCCTCCCACCTCAGCCTACTGAGTAGGTAGAACTACAGGCATAAGCCACCATGCCTGGCGAATTTTTTTATTTTTTGTAGAGATAGGGTCTCATTATGTTACCCAAATTGGGCTTGAACTCCTAGGCTCAAGAGATCATCTCATTTGGGCCTCCCCAAATGCTGGGATTACAGGCATGAACTACTGTGCCTGGCTCTAGTATCTTTCTTATTCTCCATTGTATCTCAGTTCCTAGCAGAATGTTTGGCACATAGCAAATACTCAATAAATATTTATTAAACAATGGGCTCCACAGATTGAAAAAGTGAATAACTTTTAGGATATTCATCCAAAATTTAGGAAAATGAAATCCATTCCACTTGTCAATTACAGTTTAAGGAGATTATCTAGCAGGAGGCAGCTTTCTTGAAATAAGATTCCAGGCAGAAATCCATCTGTCAACTAATGATATGGATACTTAGAAATAAGAAGCCTCGAAAAAATCTGCTCAGTCCAACTTCCTGCCTATGTATAGAAGTGGTCGAAATGCAATTATCTTCCTACACAGCGGGACGAGAGTCCTTCAGCTCCTTCTGTTCTCCACCTTCAGAATCTGTTAAGAAAGCAGATACTCCCACCATGAAGCAAACAGGCCTTCATGCTGTTTAGATTACAAGACATCCTGCTGGTAAAATTCTCCCAGCATTCAAAATGTTTCTAGACATATTCACTATTTTCTTGATGCAAGTCGATAGTTCATGCAATGAAACAGTTCAGTTAGAATAAACATAGCACAGTTTAAAACTCAATCATTTGAATAATTATTCTTTTTTATTCTTAATAATTTGAACAGAATTAAGGAATTGAGCTCAGGCTTATATCTTTAACATCTATGACAAAAGAAGCTGGTTAAGCAAATATAAGCTATATATATATATCCAGTTTCCTTAAGGACTAAGTTAGACAGTTGATATCTATGACATTTTACTTTGACACTTCTTGTTTCATTTTTATCATGAAGGTACATCTTCATTCTTTCAAACATACCGTTTGGCTTGTGATTATCTGTCAAAATTTTTTAGAGCAATTTTTGGGACACATGGATAAGTAAAAAATTCCTGTTATTTTCAAATATGAGTTCCATCATGGAACCAATGTGGCGCAGACAGCTCGAAGTATTTGGGAATGACGTGTTTGGGAAGGATGTGACTAATGATTCAAAGGACATCGATGGTTTGAGAAGTTCCGTTCTGGTGATTTTAATCTTGAAAATGAAGCACGTGGGTGACCTGAGACTAAGGTGGATATTGACGAGCTCAAAGCTATAGCAGAAGTGAATTCATCTCAACCTATGCATGAATTAGCAGCAAGGTTTGATGTTA